TATTACTTGCGATATTATTTTTTGTTGTTGCAAATATACCACTAGGCTAGGTGCCTAGTGGGTTAAATAAATATAATAAACCAAAAATAAGGATCCAAAGCTTACAATTTGTCCAAAGCCAAATCTAAAAGATGCTACGGTAAAGCTAATAAAATGATAAATGCTAACTATTACAACTGGTAACATAGTCAACTCCAAACATATGATGGTCTGTGTATCCACAAGCCAATTGCAAAACCTCAATATAGCACCTCTAATGCTCTCATCAGGTGCCAAGTTTTGCGTTCCAACGGATAAGGCAAATATAAAAATCCACGCAACACCATGAACTTCCGGGGCTGACCAAATATCCAAGGAGTAAGCAGGTACGCTGCTAATGACAATCCACACTCCGAGCAGATGGCTTCTCTTCTCTGTACTTACGAATGTCTACAGAATGTACCAAGATAAATGCAGCAAAAGATGCTAATAGTAGCCAGGATGCACTGCCATGACATCTCTAGATTGGGTATGGAAACATGCCAATACCACTGGATAATATCTTAACAGTACACATTTACAATGATAGTGAATATACCTTGTAACAACATTGGAACCCAACTAATGCTCACTATATATTTTAGCTTCAAAGACCACTGATATGTATCATAATAGTGAACCAGTTGAAAGTACAATATGTAGCTAATTTATCTAGTTGTAACTACATATGGAACATACTAGCCTAGTATTAGACTTTAGGACCAATTGTGTTCTTGTATGGTTAAGTAATCACTTTCTTCTTGCATATACACCTCCATATCCCATTAGAACACTACCAGAATGAGCATGATAACATGCTAATACCACTGAAAAGTGCCCTAACAGTCTACAGAATATAAAAATAACAAGGCAGCTAGCATGAATGAAACTGTATTGTACCTATCTTTTGCCCTGAAGTTGCTGCAGTAGAACCCAATGTTGTTGTTGATCCAGTTGTTTGATGGAATTTGATAACCCCTGTTGAAAGCCAATTAGCGAAGTGGAACTCCAAGCAACAACATCAACTGTAAGCAACCAAGAATCCAAGTAGATTCCCAATTCCATGAACAATATTTGTATCCAGTGAAATCTAAACCAATAGCCTAATATGTTGAATGCTTGTTATTGTGCAATGTAATTCACATGCTTGTAATGCCATAACACCTCCAGATTGGACATGTATACATGCCAATACCACTTAAAATTGTCATGACATTAAAAAGCATACTACTCTGAAACAGAACACCTTCCATTACTGTTAATTTCCAGCTTTGATCCTTCATACATTCTTGTCGCAATGGGGTAATGTAGTTAATAAATATACTGCTCCAAATTGTATGAATTTGTACCTGGCAGCAGTAACCTATATGTATAAAAAAGAAGCACCTGGCAGTAGCCAATACACCAATCTAAGTAAGTATGTATACTGCCCTTACTTTGCAAGTTTATGCGTGAATACCACCTGCTAACCTGGCAGTATACGTGTACACAGAATCACCTATCACCTATCAGCTCAGTGAATATAACTGGATCCCAGCAATTGGGATGTTCTAACATATGGTAAGTAACACATAAGCAGAAGCAAAAATATTAGGACATGTTGTGAATTATCGTTAGTCATTACATAAATCGTAAACCTTATTGCTTTATCTGTCCACAGCCTGCTTGTATGTAAACCTCCATATATTATTAAAGAACTACCAGAATGAGCATGACACCATGCTAATACCACTGGAAAATACTCTAACAATGTACAGAGTCTAATCATACCAATGTACCCAGCAAGCATGTGTAAGAACGAACCTTGGAGCACCATCAATCTGGTGCTCTTCTTTTGGCAATCCTAACCCTAAGATTAGGAGTGTGTGATTTTTCGAGATTGATCAGTCTCCTTCCTGCGCTAGGCAGATCACAAAAGGAATGGAATTCAGTTGTACCTGCAAAAGAGAAAACATGGTTAGCTATAAAATCTGCTACTGTATTGCCCTCTCTAAATACATGTCGGAAAATCACATTAAAGTGATCCTTCGTCTCTTTAATTTTCTGCACTTCTGCTACTACACTCCATGGTGGATCCCATTCTCCTCCCTACTATACTGCGATATTGGTTTTTATTGCTATTTCTGCCTTTATTTTTGTTATTATCATTGTTATCTCTATTTTGATTTCTACTGCTTATTAACTGCACAGGTTCTCACGTAAGTGTCCTCGCATAGTCTCGTCACTAACTCGTCGAGGTTAGGCTCAATATTTATTGAGTACATGGGGTTTGTTGTACTCATACTACACTTCTGTACTTCTTATGCATATTCGGATATTGGTACCACTAGAGTCTCGAGAGGTGCTTAGCGGATACCAAATAAGCGACCCAAGGTATAGCTGCATATCGTTTGTAGGTCTTAGAGCCATCTTTTCATCTCTTCTGTAATGCTTATTTTACCAGACAATATTATATTTCTTTCAGATATTGTATTTAGCAATTCTAGTAGCTCATGTACTTGTGACACTATATTTTGGGGTGGTTGATCATCGGTGTTGGTTTTTAGACTTATTATGTATATTTCTGAGTTACTTTTATTCTATATTATCATATTGTTGTTAACCGTTAGTCTCTTTTTTTCTTTTTTATTACTATATGTTGGCTTGTCTAGCAAGCGGTGTTAGGTGTCATCATGACCCTGGTTGGAATTTTGGGTCTTGATAAGAAATAAGTCATAAATAAATACTACTTACCGATAATTAGTCATTAAATTATGCTACTAAAAATAACCATAAAAATACCAATAATATACAACATTCAAAAAATTCTAGGCAAAAAAAGATTTTTTTCGACGGGCATGGTTGTAGTTCGTTTAAATACATAGATGAGCCAATGTATAAAATTTGAGAAAGATTATAGGTGATTTTGATGGTTTGGAGTCAAAAATTTATTATCAATGACATACAATATAAAAAAACTAGGCAAAAAGATCTTTTTCAATAGTATGATTGGAATTCATAAACACATAGATGAGGCAATAGATAATATTTGAGGAAGAAGAGGGTGTGATTTGGAGTCAAAATCCATAGTTGAAATTGAGTTTATATTTTTTTTTTGCCACACATGTATCTAATATGTATCCCACACATATGTATACATAGATATATAAGGGATACATATTTGCTACATATGAGATATACAAATAATGCACGGGGAATATAGAGGAGGATACACATATTATCTTCTTCCATGGTCATCTTACTTTGAATTTGGCTAAATTTAAAGCTCAAACCACCTCAACTCTCTACTAAATCGTCCCAAAATTGAGAATCAAAATCCTTAACATGTACCAAATTTGTTCTAACAATGCCAACTCGGAATAAATTTCAATTTTGAAAATCCAAAATTTCAAATTCAAGCTTAAGCGAGCTTAAAAAAACGAGCTTCAATCACTTTTAATAGAGTTTTAGCTCATCTTCTTTCATTTTTCAAATTATTTTATTAAGCTACTCTATCACAATTGTTTTATTGGAATCAGATATAGGGTCGGAAACACAACGTCGAAAACGTTTTCAAGCATCAACAAGCAAAAAACCTTCACTTTGCACATCATTCGGAGTCACTACATATAAGTATTGGTGTACGAGGAATAAAAGTATCTCTTGAACTAAAATGACATCAATAGTTTGGTTTGTACATGTGATTACGAAAAAAAAAAACTAGATAATTTTGTATAGATCGAATATTAGGTAATCAAAGTGAAGCCCAACGACGAGAAGAGTATGTACTTGATTCTCAAACAACAATTGTTAGATGAGAAGAATGTCAAAATTAAGCAGGATTCTGGATTAAAGATGCAGGAAACACTACTTCAAGGAAAAAGCAGACAATAAACAAGATTATCTAAAATTTAATAATGGTGAATTGCCATATCGAAAGGGAAACATAAAATTAGGGACCACATTTTATTTTTTTTTGCTAATTAGCTATTGGCTATGTGAGGGAGAAAGAGGGAGGTAGACTAAAGAGAGGAAGAAGCATACAAATAACCTAGGTATTAAGAATATTAAGAAAAATTAACCCAATTAGTCGTTCACTTAATCTCTTAAATTAAAAATAGTCGGCGGATGTATAAGATACATATAATTTATATATAATATATGTATAACTATATATAATTAATGTATAATTTATGTGTACAAACTAGAGAAAGTAAACATTGAATTTGGCCAGTTATTTGTGTAACAATCACATATTAATAATATTTGACTAATATTGATAGTATTTTATAGATTGGCTGATACTGGTACCATCTCGGCACTAAAAAGCCAAATTGTATTTTTTTATCCCAATCGAAATCCAAAACATAATTGAAATATTTCAAAAATTGAAGTCGAACTCCCTATCGTTATTGAGAAAATCGAACAAAAAATTCAATTCCAAATTATGCCCCATTTAACCCTGACTGAGTACTTTCTCAGGCCCAAAGTGTGAAGTTGGGCCTGACAAGTCCAACATTTTATAGACAGCAACAATCAAAAATGAACCTCGGCTTATAGCTTATTTGGCCAAAATGTAAAAATCAGCTTATTTTGGAGAAATATTTTTTTAAAATTATTTTTGATGAGAAACAGTTTGTATTTGACTAATTAATTTGAAAAGCATTTTAAGAGAAATAACTTTTTTCTATTTCTTCAAAATTGCTTTTGCCACTTAAGTTTGGAAAAAAATATTTTAAAAAAAAAATATTTCTAGGATCAGAGAAGGCAGAACATACTATTTATCAGCAACTACCAAAAGCACCTCGTTGCCCGAGATAACACAGCCATCTATTTGTTGACCACAAAGTACGAAGTGTTGACTGTTCCAGTGCCAAGAAACGTTCCTACTTTACCTTCCACTTTACTTCAAGAACCCAACCATCAAAGCATCAACAAAACCCAAACCCTAACCTTAATAGTAGCTAAATACTCTCAAATTTTCCGTTGTCAGCGCATGAATCATGCCCACATTGTGCATTCCCAGTAGCTTAGTGCTCTATAATGTTCTTCTTCTCTTGACTTTGCTCCCGATCTCCATTTTCTCCTTCTCAATTGGACTCGGTTCCCACTTTGATCCCAATCTTGGCCTTATTGGCGATGCTAAGATCACTAAAGATGGCTGCTTTGTGCAACTAACCGACCCATCAAAGTCTTCTCTGAGTTCCGGAATTGTCTTCCAGAGAATACCCTTCAAGTTTCTTGACTCCAATTCGTTTTCCACTGACTTCTCATTCTCTATCTCACCCCACAATGGTGATGGTCTTTCCTTCGTTATTGTTCCTACTGATTTCCCCTCCAAGTTTTCCAAGAAAATGTTCGGGCTTTCAAATGAAAGGCGGTATTTTGGGATTGAGTTTGATACTTTGTTGAACGAGAATGTTGGGGATAAAAATGCCAATCATGTGGGTGTGAACGTGGGCAGTATTGTTTCTGCAAAATCAACCAACGTTTCGTTCATCAACTTGGTGTTGAATAGTGGCAAAAAGCTGCATTCTTGGGTTGATTACGAATGCACTTCGAAAAGATTAGAGGTAAGACTAAGTGAATTCGGTAGTCCTAAGCCGTACAATCCCTTGTTAGTGTATCAGGTCGATTTGGGTAATATGTGGAAAGGCGAAGAAGTATTGGCGGGATTAAGTTCTTCTACTGGAAGTTCATTTCAAGTTACTAGTGTCTATTCATGGAAGTTCAGAGTGCGGAGTGTTCCAAAGTGGTTACATTCACAACCCGCGGATCCACACAAAATTGGGAACGAACATAGTCTGGAAAAGATGGCAAACAAAAGAAGGTTTCATCTTTTGGCATTTCTCTCTGGGTTTATCTTTGCGACAGGGTGTATAGCATTGGCCGCCTTTGTTGGACTGTTTTTGTGGGTGCTACTTGGCAATAATTCGGAGGTAGTGATCCCAGCAAAGAGCTCTGTGCATCCTGGAGATTTCAGGTATGAAAAGGTCAATGTGGTTGTAGATGATGGTTCAGGCCATGTTAAAAACTAAATCAATTATCTATTAATATATGTTATGTTGTATAATGCAGTTTCTGTTGTTTGTACTCTTTTAATGTATGCGGAAGGCTGGACCATGTATTTTACCCTTCTCAACGAAGAATGGGTGCCTTGTATGTAACTTTGTATGCTAATCTTGTTGACCTCTTTATCTTTTTGTACCTGAAATTTGTTACTTTCCAGCGGTAGCAGATGAGGGTTTATGTGTAGCAATGCATTCTGAGCAATTCGATCTACTTTTATGCCCTTCTGTTCCTCCTACAGCTTATATTGCCTTGTAAAGTAGCGCAGGATGTCCTTTAGTTAAATCAGCTTATAATTATGCTTGCCTAAGCCTTGATTACTCTACGGTATGAATTATCGATGCTGCCTTCACTCCATGTTAAGTATCGTAACTTGACTGGAGACAAGTATCGTGGTAAGGTGAAAGTTCTATAGTATGTAAAGGGAAATGTATAAACATGAAAAGAAGTTTAACTTTGATGAATTTGATCTTATAATAAGTATATAGATTGGTATTTTTTTAGTACTTTTAATCTTTAATAGTATTAAAATTCAGGACTAAAGTTAGTCTTTGTGAAAGGTGGACTGTTTTGGGCAATATATATTAGAGGAAGTAACATACTAGTTAACTTGGGATAGGATTCTTATGTTTCATATAAGTGGAATATGAGTTTAAAAATAGGAGGAGCACATGGCTTTAAGTTTAACACTGTGGTAAAAAGAGGAGAAGAAACAGTGAAACACTTTTTGTTCTTAAGATAGTGAAATGCTACACAAGTGTGATCAACTTTGATAGTATAGAAAAATCAAGCTGCTCCCGGCTTCTTAAGCCCGCATGAACCTTCTTTTAATCCACTAAACTGAATAATTTTATTAATGATACAGAACCAAGTTGGTTCTATAATATGCACATGAAAGAGCTTAAAACATAGTCCATTTAATTCTTTTAAGAACTTGTTAAGTATTATAATGTTTCAGGCTCATCTACATACTCTATATAACATCATAAGTAAGCTAATAATATACAGTTAAACTTGACCATCGAATTGGAGCCTGCTTAGCCTCCAAAACAACTTTGATCCTTTCCCTCCAAAGTGTCCACCAAATACAAAGCTGATATGGTGTTCCATATGCTGCTAAGACCCTCACTAAGGCCTTTCTTGCTCCAGCATCTGTGTTCTTGGGTAGTTCTTGGCCTGAGTCCTGACCTATCTCAGATCCAGAATGCTCAAACAAAAATGACATAGCTGCGATGTTTTGTTACGATGCCAACTGGAAAAGAGAATGGTCGTTGCCTTCCAGCTTCTTTCCTATATAGGTAGCATCTATTGCACATTTGCAAGTCTGCTCCCTGTTATGGATTTTCCTGTGTCAAACTAGTTGCATAGGCAACTAACCAAGAAAAACAAGTCACTTGATATGGTGCTTTTGCTTTCCAAATTTGGTTCCATTGCTAGGATGACTTCTCACTCTCACCTGCTATCGTGAATTTGTAGCAAGATTTCACAGTGAGGATCCTTTGTTCTGTACTGTCCAAAATAATATGTCAGCAGCACTGATAAGCCCCTGGAATGTCTCAATAGTTGAGGAACTCATCACCCTTTCTATTTCTCAATCAATTTGATTCTTTCCGAATACAATATTCCAGTCACTTCCCGCTTAAGCTTGCATGAACTTGCTTATGCCAAATCAAAGAGTAGACTATCAAACTTTTAAAGTTCCACCAGTGCTTTAATTTTAACTTTGAAAACTACAAATATTGTAATCATTTTGTATGAGTCATTTCGAAGCTTGCTTTCTGTTGTGAATTGTGTCAAAAAATTTAGTGCGAAGATTTTTTTTTTTCCTTTTATGATATTCTGGAGTGATGCTGTATGGTGTCCCATAACGTTCTTTCTTTAGAGTAGCCATTTCTTGAGTTGCTGTAGAAGTGCATTTAACTTGTGGAATGATTTGGTGTTAATTAGACGTAACAATCAGAAGTTGAAATGGCTTCTTGCTTACGAACTATATTTATTTTGTGCAGTCATGATAGCCTTTGCACCATTTGTTATTTTAATGGAATAGCATTTTTATCATTTAAAATAAGATATCTCCTGCATGGCAAGCTTGCACGAGACTTTGGAGTATTACTTGAAGTTTTTGTACGTGAACAATCACAATGAGGGATGAGAATATCTTTATAAAGCCCCTGTTATATATATGAGGAGTTGTTCAATAAATATGCATAGCAGATGTGGTAACCGGTAAGAACTAAGAAGGATGACAGGCATTTCACTGACATAGCCACCCTTCCATGGAGAGCTAACTTCAATAAATAGGGTGTCGCATTCTTTCGGAAAATTATACTGCATAAATAGGGTGCTAAGTTTGAATCCTAGGTGTCGCATTCTTTAGTTTTTGAATCCCCTCGTTAGGATTTTTGGCTCTGGCACTTGCTACCTTTAAGCAAGATTATGTTGAAGGGAAGGGTATGGTGGAGGCAATCTCTGTGCTGGTAGAGACGTGTGGCTAAAGAGATATTATGTTAAAATGTTCAAAGTTTGATTCATGTTAGATGTTGCAACTTTATATATCTAGTTTTGTTGGAGGATCAAAAACAATTTAGATGCATATAGACAATGATACTCACATTTAGTGTGGCAACCAGTTTTGAATGAATTGTTCAACGACTTATAAAGAGGTTTCAAATTCTATGAAGCCCCAAGTAAAGTTCAACAAGAACTGGAAATTATCGGAGTAGTTTGAGTTGAAAGTGTTGGAATACATAGGATAATGAGTTGGTGACTTCCCATATTAATTGAAAAGAGAGTTTTGTATTGAACTGTCTAGACATCCCATATAGAACTATAAAGAGGTAGAAATCAACCTGTATTCTTTCTATTTTCTTAGATTACTTCAATGTGATGTGATTATCAAGCTATTATATCAAACCAAATTCTGAACAAGTTTCAAATTATCGAGCTTATCTTAGTTAAATACTGCAAAATGGAGATCGAGTTTGACTTATGAAAAACAAATGAGCTTGCCTTTAAGTTGAAAATATATTTTGAGCCGAGTCATAGATACGTATGAATTTGGCGTGTGGTGTACAAACCGAACTGGAAAATCGCACCAAACCGATTAAAAAACCGACTAGGTTTGGTTTTATTTGTTTGGTATTGAGTAAAAAAAAAATCGAACCAAACCGACATTTTTTATATATAATTTTAAGACTTTATATAGACTTTTATTTTAAAATGTCTAGAAATATTTGAGATCCTCTCCTGGGATATAATATTTAATAGAACTATAAAGTGCATTCATTTTTATTTACTTTAAATAATAGATTGTATCACTTTCTTATTATGTGTTATTGAAATGCGTCAATCATCTCTTTGTTCTTTCATATTCATATGTCAAGATTTATTATATGTTTTTCGAATTTGAAGTGGTATTTCGATAATCTAAAATTACATAGAACATATCATTATTTAGGTATCATATTGATTTTTATGTTTAATTATTAAATTTGGTTAACCCTGAAAGCGTACATCGACCAAAAATTATTGGTAGACGACAAAGAAAATAAAACTATTATGTGTTACTAAAAAACACTTCTCCCATAAGATCACTTTTATAGATCATATGTTTGTTATTTTTTTAAAATTTTTAGAAAACATATATTCACTTATCAAAATTTTATCTATAATTTTAATAATGCAAGATTGAAACAATATTCATGTAACAAAAAAACCCGAAAAATAAAAAAAAATGATAAAACCGAACCAACCCAAACCGATATAATTAGTTTGATTTTGATAAAATCCGAACCAATCCGGTCCACGTACGTCCTAAAGCACATGATCAAGAAACTTGTAAAAGGAAAACCACGAGTAGGCATTTGCTTCCTTAATTTATGGTAACGGATCAAATAAGGACTAATGTCATTTTGAATCTAGCGTGACTCAATCTAATACAGAGGCGTCTTTGCCAAGAAATTGATCAAATTTTCTGAATTTTAAAGTTAGAGAAGTGGCCATCACCTAACGTTTGTCAGTGGGACTACTTGATTATATCTCCAATTCCAGATATTGATCGTTTTGACGAAGTGAATTTTATTTCAAAATATTTGATGTTTTTATATTTCAATTATTAGAGTATTAATGAAGATGTTTAAGGAGAGATAAATGGTAATTTAAAATTAATATTATGATGAAGATTATTAAATATCTTTCTTATAGGATGTACAATAATTTTAAAAAAATAAATAATGCACATCAGAAGTAGCACTTAATTATTGAAAATGAAATTGTTTTTGTTGTTTCCGTCAATGGAAAGGGTAAACGTAAGTAACAAGCTAAAAAATACAGGGTCATAACTTAACTTATTTGGAGTTAGACAAGTTGGGAAGATTATTTTAAAAAACGGAAAGGTACAAAAATACTCATGACCTATTGAATTTGGCGGTTGGTTAACCTATCGGCTCATAAGATGCTTGTTTTAAATATACTTCTGAACAATTAAAAAGGTTTAAATATGCTTCTCGTATTAACGGTGAAAGTCACGTCGGGGTATATTTGGACGTTTATAATTGTTTACTACTAGTATGTTTGGACCTTTCGATTGCTCAGAGACAGGCTTCAAATTATTTCATTTGTTGTTGAATACGTATGACTAATCTTCGAACAAAGAAGCTAATAAAACATAAATTATATTACGTGAAGATTGGAAAAAAAAAAAACTATTTTTGATAATTTTCTTAGTGTGAAAGTATATGGCCAATAACAAGAAATATTCTTTCGAGAGAGACAAAGTTTCCCTAATAAATAAAGGGGAAACAATAAATTTATTTAGTTAAAAGGCTACAAAACTTGCCAACGCGTTGATAACTTGTAGTGTTCTTAGCTCTTTTCCCTAAACTAATTTTCTCAATTATAGTGTTCTTATTTATTAATTCCTTGAATAATTTAATCTTCATTAGCATCTGATTGTCGGACTTAGATCAAATCAACTATGACGAAATATACAGAATTGTGACAAAAGCTTTGCTTAAACAAATTCATTTAGTCAATGATTTTATCTCAAATTTTATTACTTTAATCTTACCGGAGACGATTTTCTTTTAGAGAGAGATAATATGAAGGTTAGCGGCCCGCATTTTTTTGTCTTTTTTCCTTTTACAAAGTAGTAAGTTATTTTGCAGCATCTTGATTCAGCCAAATAGGGTCGGTACACCCACTTCAAGCGCATTTTATGCTCATTTATTTTTGGTTTAGTCTGTCACTCTTTGGTCAAC